CCACCCCAAGCTTACCTCATATGTGACGGTACATTCTACAGTCTGATTTTCTGTTATTCCTACAATCCATTTCTCCATTACAAATGGGGGCTGAAAAACAAAAGTTAGGATGGTGTAGTGTCATCATACAGCCTGCTCTTACAGCATATGTTTCTTTGAGGCCAGCTGTGCCACACACAATTGCCAGATAGGGTAGAATGTCAGATTATCATGGAAGTCGTGTTGGTTCACACATCATTACTCACAACATGCTAATGTTTGGGGTTTTGGTTTTCATAAGACATCCTTTCATAGATTTGTAAACAGCTAGTCTTGCTGTCCCACAATCTTCTCTTTTCTGATGTATCACTCAATCCTATCATTGGATCATTCATTCATGCTAATGTTTTGAAACATCAGCAGAAAGCTTTCTCACAATGAAGAGAAAGCTTTAGCTATATAAGAAGACTCAGAAATGCCTTCCTTGAGTGCAAGCAGTGGCCGGTTCAGTGCCTTTAACAACCACACTGCTTTCCACTATATTGGACAATCCGGTAAAGCCGTGCATACAAATGAGACTAGAGACATTTTCCCACTATATTAAAGCAAAGGTCAATGAAAAAGCCTATGCCTGGGACCCTATTTTAATTCTGATGAAAGTGGTCAGTCATTAGCAGAAATGAGTCTCCATTCTCCTCCCACCCCACCTGTCCCTCCCTTCATTCCAGGTTAAAGGCTGCAAATGACTGACTGGTTGTGAGCTGGGTACAGTAAATGCAGTTGAGATTTAACTGGGCAATTTTTTTGGTTTGTTTTTTAGAATTAGGATTGTTACTGGTTCTGTTGGTGTTAAAAAGTTCTCCATATTTTGAATGTCTGCCTCAGTCTTATTTTTCCTATACACCCTGTTAATGTCGGTGTGTGATTTTGCAGAAGATGTGGTTCTTCAGGAATGCATAGATGGCGTTATAACAGAAACACCTGTGTTCAGTTTTTACAGCTGCACCCTGTGATTTCTGCCATAAGCAACTTCATTCTGTTAGCAGGCCATGGCTTGGATCTTGCTTCTAAATGACACTGAAGCAATGAAACACTGCTGCAATCAGAGATGGCACGGGTGGGAGGAAAGACGTACCTGTCCAGTCTTGAAGGCATCAAAACAATTTATCTTGACAAAATTAAGGAAAAGTTCAAACCAGATCATAACCTTTACAGATAAACAACACCATTGAAATAACTCAGTTACTCAGAGAAATCCAACAATGAATATAAAATCAATCTACTTGATGAACACACTTGTAAATTAAAAGAACTTGGGTGGTTAGCAATTTTATGCCTGGGAAGGGAACACATTTGCAAGTCTAATGCTGTGGCTTTGAGGACTCTTTTCACTTTGGGCTTGTGTTTGTACCCAGGTTCTCCTTTGCTACAAACCCCATTTTCTTCACTGAAACCAAATACAGTAAAATCTTGGATTGTGAGTAACATGGTTTGCAAGTGTTCCGCAAGACGAGCAAACATTTCTAATACAATTTAACTTGGTAAACGATCAATGTCTTGTAATATGAGTAGTTTGTTTCCAGAACAAATTATGCTTGCAAACCAAGTACATTTTAGCATGGTAAACGAGTGATGTCTTGCAATACGAGTAGTTTGTTTCTGGAACAAATTATGCTCGCAAACCAAGGTATTACTGTACGTGGTTAATAATGTATGAGAGTTAATGGCTCATGTGAAGTTCGGGGTGACTTCTATTGACATCATGGTTATTTACCTGAAATTGTTGACTTTTTACAATTGAAGTCTCATATGTATTTTTTTCAGTGTGATTAAGACTGAATTGGATTTTTTTCCATTTTGAGGGGAAGCTAAGCATTTTTCTAAGTCTTTATTCAGTGTTTTAATGAGCTTGCTTCTACCACTGACCTCAAAGTCGGAACGTGCTGTCTGGCCACTCTAGGGATTCATAGGTGTGAATTCCAGGAAGCCATGAAGACTTCGACACATATCTCACACATAACCTCATCACAGTCCTTCAAGAAATTGAACACAACCAAAAAGGCCTTCCTCCTTACAAGTTTTTCAAAGTTTAAAATGACTCAAAATTCAAGGTAAATATTTTCATCTTTGGCCATTTTCTTTCCTTTAGTAAATGACAGAATAAGCATAAAGAAATGTAGAAAAAAATTAAACGATACTTTCTGTAGTACTTCTTAGTTCACACAGCATTAAGTGAAATTTTAACAAAAAACTACTATGATCTCAATCTGCTAAATAAAATGCACTTTCAACAGCCAGCTTGCGGCTGAGCTGATGCAAGCATGGACAGCACAAAAGCACACTGCTGGGATATTTTAATGTCTTTGTTTGATATCTGTGAATTCAAAAAAGCTTTTAAGCCGTAAATAGAACCCTACCTTTGTCATCTTTAAAATCTCTGCATCAGGTAGGTTAGTGTTGAATGTCACATCTTTGATGTAGGTTATTGCAATTTCATCCCCATCCGTCTCCATATACATTTTCCATTTAGAATCCTGGAATTAAAAGCAAAATTATAGAATTTCAGGAAGTGAAACACATTTTTTCAGTCTTAATGTTTTATAACACATGAAGTATTCTAAATGAAGTATTATTGGAGGTTTTTTTATTTTCCTTTTTCAACAAAAGAACATGAAATCAGATCTCTTTATATAGCTAAATAACCCCCATTTAGGGCAGTCTTCAGAAATAATTTATCAATTTAAGTATTCTATTATAGGAGTTGCAAACTCAAAATCCTAAAGGGGCCAGGCAGGTAATAAAAATGAGTAAAGCCAGGCAGTTTCATTATAGAGCCTTAAATTGTAATCTTTCAAAATTGACCCATTCAATTTATATATTAAATATGGTAGGAATATTTTTTTCATTGACACAAAGAGATGTGATCTTCCCACTTTTTTTGAAATATAAGGCCCTCTTGATCTACCTTTCACTTTTCCGCTATTAACAATGAAATGGGTTCAAGACAGAGCTCACTTCCCTCTTAACAGGAAGAAAAACAATCCTGCAAATGTGATGGTATATGGAGATTGATAATTGGCCTAAGTATTGGGGAGTTATAGGGAGGGTAAGGGACTCTGGGAAACTAAAGGCAACTGCCCTAAAGGGACAGCCACCATTCAGCATCTGTTGATTGTCCCCATGTGGGAATACGAGCCCAGTCTTGCTAGGTCCTTTGATGTTTCACAAAAAGCTGGATATCTGGATTCTTATATGAAACTTCTTGATTTTTAAAAATTTTCAGTAAAAGCACCATGTAATGAAAACGTGCTCTACACCATTACTAACCAGGGGAATGTAAATTAAAACCACAATGAGATACCACTATACACCCAACAGATGTCTACAACAATAATAGCAAATGGTGGCCAGGATTGGGAGCTACTGGATTTTTGGTGGGAGTGTAAATGGTACAATCACTTTGGGAAAAGTTTTGGCAATTTATTATAAAACTAAACATGTACCTATTTTATGACCCAGAAACTACTCCTAGGTATTTATCCAAGAGAAATGAAAAAAAGAGTTGTACAATATTGTTCTGAGCAGCTTTCTCATAGTAGTCATAAAAACCTGGAACTAGCCCAGTATTTAGCAATAGGAGAGAGATAATGTATGGTGTATTCATAGAATGGAATATTACTCAGCAATACAAAGGAACAAATTACTGATGCATGCAAAAACACGGATAAATTGCAAAATCATTATAGTGAGTGAAAGTCTTACACAGAAAAGAATATACTACGAATTCCATTTATATTGCTTTCCAGAACAGACAAAGACAATTTATGATGGAAAAAATTCAGAAGAGTGGTTGCTTCTGCAGATGGGGATTGACTGGGAAGAGGCTGGAGGGGATTTTCTGGGGGTGCTAATGCTCTATTGATAGGGGCTTGGCTTACCCAGGTGTATACAATTGTCAAAACTCAGCAAATGTATACCTATGATGTGTGTATTTCTTATTGAACTCTAGCATACTGAAATATTTAGGAGGAAGTATACTGATGTCTGTAAGTCACTTTGAAATGCATAAAAAATAATGATTGATAGATGGCTAAATGGATAGATGGACAGATATGTGATAAGGCAAGTAGGGTAAAATGTTAACAGTTGAATCGTGGAAGTGGGTATATGAGTGTTCACTGTAAACTTTTTTCAACTTTGCTGTATGAAAAATGTAATAATAAAGATGTTGGGAGATAAACACTGTGTATGCAATTAAAAGGAAAAATAAACTCATGTGTTTGCATCAGATTTGAACCCTGGACCATAGATTCACCTTCTTCTCTTATTTTCTTTGAAGAATGAAGGATTCTGAGAGATTAAGGCTAATGTCCTGAGCACTTTCCATGCTGAAACTAGAAAATGCTGTGATAGCAATAGACCTGGACTGTTTCCTGAGCAAGCCCAGACAACATCACTAGGGAAGAGCTTTCACAAAGAGGCTGTTGAAAACCTGCTGGCTTCCACAGGAGGCTGGGGAGCCTAATGTTTTAGGAGCGCTTCTAGACAAACTGCAGAGCCAAGCAGGGCCCAGGCCTGAGGGGAGTGACCCTCTTTGCCTAGTCAGACTCACAAGATGGAGAGCCAATTAGTGAAGGAAAAGGTCTATGTAATAACGTGAAAACCTAGCTCTTGGCTAACATAAGTCACATTAGTCACTCAGAATTGACACATCTCTCAGTAGTTCTTTGTTTTGGAACCACTGCTACCCGGGCAACATGGGCCCGGAGATAACGGGGCAGGATAATGACTCTTTGGAGTCAAGATTGCTCTTCCCTGAAACAGCCAGAGCCTCCTCAAGGCACTCACTGGCTGGAATAAAAAGCCTTAGAAAAGGCGAGTTTACTTAGTTTTGTTTCTTTTGCCTGTCAAGTTTTGGAATTAAGTTAGTCAAAACACAGTTAACAAGACCTTGACCTGTGTGCAAATGCCCAGTTCTCTCTGCTGCGCTCTCACCTCACAACCCGAGTACTCTTCCACGACTTCATGTCCCCAAGTGCACACGCTCAGAGGAGCTCTGTGATGAGAAGCGGCTGACCAGCAGGAACTCACAACTGCGGAATGCCTACTATGCTCTAGGCATGTTGCTGGGTACTTACACTGTGCTATTTTATGTGCTCTCCATAATAACCCTGCAAGTTAGGTTTATTTTCCCATTAGGTGAGTGAGAAAAATGGGGCTCAGAGACAGGCTAAGGAATTTTCCTAGGGTTTCCTGGCCAGGAAGTGGTGCAGGTGGGATCCTAACAGCACAAGGTGGCCTGGCTCCCAAGTTGGAGGAGATACCGATGGGGAAGGACCAGAGAGTAATTCTTAATACAACCAAAAAAAAACAAGTGGCGACTGGTCTTCCCCCTGTGGCAACTGCTTCTTTGTTCCCCACAGTCCAACTTGGAGAAGCACAGATCTGCATATTAGGGTTACTTTCTAAATTCTCCTTTTCTCTTAACTGCAAGAAGCCTTTTACCTGAACCATAAAAGGAGACTGCTACAGAAGCAATAAAATTATAACCAAAGAAGTTATAAGACAAGGTCGGGGGGGGGGCATTATCCATTCATTAAAAAGCAGGTACTGCTTGTTACAAAGCTGGGTGAGAAAGAAAGAGAATGCGTAGCCTTCACCTGAATGATGAACGTAATCTGTCAATGCCCTGCTTAACTCAGGTATTTTCAGGGCAACTATGATTCAATTGTTATCTAATTAAGAAAAATAATCCACAAATTAATGAAATTCTTTTTCAAGTCTGCTCAATTTCAAGTTACCCTCGGACATGCCTGGTATTTTTGGTATCCAGTGAGTCATTAGGTGTCACTGAGCACCCTCCACAGCTGGATCACCAGTAATATCACTAAAAGGAACAATTCCACGTATTTATGAGCCTAATATAGAATTTTACACGCACAATTGCTCCTTCTCAGTTTCTTGGTGGTGCTAGGGACCAGGTAATGGGAACGTGGGCTCTGTTTTCCAAACCATTTTTTACCAGGTTGAACTATCGATTCTGGCTTGACGTGAGTGACAGAAATGTGGGTATTGATTTTTGAATCGGAAACCTTCAAGAGTCACTTTGGAGGTTTGTGAATGGCTCTTAATCCTGACAGGCAGAAATCAAAAGCAGACAACTCTGTACTCTGAGAGAGCCCATGGGGCCTCAAAGGACTCCTTTTCCAAAACCATTTCACCCCTGGCAGTCTGAAATGGCCCTGTTATTCACTCATTTGGCTTAAGGTGTTGAGGATTCCTGTTAAAATGGAAACAATATAGAAAAGGATTATACACCAAGGCATTTGTGTGTGTGTGTGTGTGGGGGAAGACGGGGGGTGGGGTACAGCAGCCCAGTGGGGAGGTGAACTGGGGAGGTGAAAGGTTGCAAGTTTGAAGTCCAGCCTCCTGAGCTTGAATCTCAGGTTTGTCACTTCCGGCCTGCACGGCCAACTTTAGTTGTTAGGTAACCTGTCTGAACCTCAGTGGTCTTTATTTACAAATGGGTCTTTGTGTTGAATGAGGATTAAATGAGGTAATGTAAACAAAGCACCTAGCCCTGTGCCAGAGCCAAATTAGGAGCTTAAACAGGAGTGATTATTATTGTTACCAATACTGGTCACCAACAAAGCTCCAATTTGTTATGGGGCCAGCTTGGTCTGTCCCCTAGCAGCGATCTAAGGGAATGGGCCAGAAGGTAAGTGAGATTTCATAGGTAGGAAGGTACCAAGAGTGTCTCGAATAGGGGTCTGGCCAGATGGGGCAGCCTGGGTCACAGCATCTTCCTTGGGTGGGAGTTTGGGGATACAGAGGGCACTGAATAAATAACTCTGGTGCCAGGGGATGGTCAAGGTGGAAAAAAAAGGAGGTGCAGCCAGGTGGCAACATAACAACAACTGGTTTTATGATATGAATAGAAGAAGGAAGAAACTTGTATCTTCTTACATAGTTGGATGATATAACATTCATTCTGCCCTTTCTTGTGTGTCAACAGATCCTGATGTAGCCCTACCAATAGAAACACCAAACATCGCGAGGTACAATGGCTATGAAAAGTGATTGACAACCAGAGAGCCTTATCTCCGACGTGGGAACCGAAGTATAGCAAGATGAGGTCATTTGACCAAGATCACACAGATAGCAAGTGGCGGAGTTCAGAATTGAACCAAAGTAGCCTATTAGTGTTATGAGAGCGGGTTTCCCCCCCAGTCTTTTTGGAATCCTAAACTATCCTTGTTATGGGTTAACAAAAGTAAGAATTACATACAGTACAGAGGAATTCCCACCTTCCAAAGTCAACAAACAGCCCAAAGTATCTTGGTGAATTCCTTTATAAGGCTCCGTGGCAGAGGCTGAAATACTGTCTTGAATAAGTCTGACACAGCCAATTCTCTCCACCATGGTTGAAAAGATCACTGTTAAAAGTGCGTATGGCCCCCGCATGTGTGTGCTTATTCTCAGCTGGCCTGTCTAAGACCCCCTGAAAGTCAAACCTAGT